CAAGCTAGAGAGATGTGTGTCATTGGGAGCAAAAGAAGAAGCCAGGAGTAAAGAGAGAAATGGGGTATCAGGGTACAAAATACCAGCTCTGTCTGCATTGCCTCCAGTGCTCATGGAATTGCTTGCTTTAAAATAAACTCGACAATTTATATATTAGGCGCTTTAAGGGAAGGCCTTACTTCGTACTCTTGTATAAAAATGCTGATTACAATGGGTCTAACTTTGTTGTCTGGTTAGAGAGCTGGTCCTCACTGATACAATATTTTTTTCATTTCAATTAACTAATGCGTGTAAGGTAACGTGAAGTAAAAAGGCAGCGATGACTGGAAATTAATCCAAGAAATGCCTGGCACTGTAGCCAGAGTTTACCTTGTGACAGAGCTAGAGTCTGCCTTCCTTGAGTGGTTTCTTAACATTGATATTTTTCCTGAGGTAAAGCACGATTTTTCACAGTGGAGAGAAGTCTAGAGAGACTAAGGCAGGGAGGTTGGCTGATCGGAGGGAGCCAGGAATGGATCAGCTGTTGTTATGTAATGTAACATCCAGTTCTTTGTGTGTGCCAGTCTTTCCCACACCAAGCATTTGTATCTAGTGGCCAAGTACCTGAGGATCAGTGAGAGCTTAAAGTGTCACTCGACGCCCTCCCACCCTCTTAGAAAGCCCAGAGTTTCTTCCAATATTTTATTTTAAGCACCAAGATTGCTTTTTGCTTTCTCACATATGCCATACATACAGCAAGTAAAAGTAAAATGGTAAACAATTTGTGTCTTGCTCCAGGCTATTTGTTTCAAGGGTCTGAGAACTAAAGGGGACTCACTTTCCCTTCTGCCAGTATAACGGATTTTGGGGAGTCTGAGAGCCCAGAAAGCACTGCTGATCGCACGGCTGCGGGTGGGCCAAGGCTCGGTGTGGCTGGCACACACAGACCACCCACCGGACACGGCTTCTCCTGACGGGACGGACCGACTGCCTGCTTGTCAGTAGGTGCTCCAGGTGTACGCACAGCACCAAAGAGCTTATGGCCCATGCCACAGAATTTCCTTGTGCCTTATTTTATGTCTTAGCGCCGAGTCTCGGGCTGATTTGGGGATCAAACACTAGCAGGCCATAAAAATGGCGTCTGGGCCGTGCCCGCT